TCCGAAGAAGCTCAATTAGTTTTTCAAGACAATAACAGTTAGATAGATATATCTTTCGCTAATTCATATTGGAAAATAATAAATGTTTGCAAAAACATAGTTAATATATGGCCAGAAGAAACCGAGGCGTATTGAGGTAACGGATCAAAGTCGCTAATCACGCCAGGTGACAGTGATACTCGCCGCTAATCTTCCGTAGATACGCAAACAACGCAGTCTCCGTACGTATAAAATCCGGTGAGTTGAATTACGGAATGGGATAAACGCGCGCCGGTCCCCTGACGTTTCATTAAAATGCACTTTCCGAGCCGAGCATCGCGTCGATATTATAAAGATCGAGTGAGGCGCACGCTTCGTCAGCGTTAGCACATACGTACTGCACGCTACTTGCGTGGCTCGCTTATGGCCGGGCACGTAATTAGCCGATAAGTAGAGACGATTTGCCGCGAGTAACGTAACGAGTCCTAATGACTTCTAAACAACTAAACGACCGAGCGACCACGTGTGTACGCGCGGCACCGGCGTGTATGTATACCTATATGCAGCGTGCCGCGGAAAAGCGAGGAGCGTATCGCTTATCGCTGGAAAAGCGCTTTGCAGGCGAACCGCAATCTCCGCGCGTTTAGTTTCTCAGCGTCGATTTCACGGAAAGTTTCGTGCGGAAAGGCATTGCGGTCGATCGTGACTGCCGTGCGTATGTGTATGGTGTGTGAGACCGTGTGTCTGTGCGAGCGCGCGCGTATATGTCGTGCAATCGTTCAGATGACTCATTGTTGAGCGTAATTTGCGTGCGTGCGTGTTGGTTGATCACTCGATGAATGAGACGTCTGTTAAGGGAAGTAACGTAACGTTTTCGAATTATTCATCGTGCGCAGTCCTGCGAATAAGTTTTCTTCAAGGAGATCGGTTCTCCTTGCTCGGTTTGATAAATCTCGCATCTCCTGAAGACCTATCCAATATTTATGAGAAAAAAACGAAAAGGAGAGAAACCACTTGCCGCGCGAGTCGTAGCAGTTGTTCGGATAATTCATCGTTGGGCATAATTAACGTACAATTGACGGCGATTAAATAAGATGTCTGTAAGGAATCTAATAGGAAAAAAACACAGGGAAGAACGGTTGTTAAATAAATTCATGTGTTTCCGCGAGATTACTATAATTGTTAATCGCCACGACTGCGCATTATCCGTCGTTGATAGAACGCATTTATTTATCTCTCTTTCGTCGCAATTTATTTTTCCAAAATCCAACAAGGATGCCCAAAGATCCGTGCAAAGTCAATTTGCATTTCAAAACAAGCTAACGTTCTCTAAAGGAAATTATCGTCTTTCATGGCATTTTGTATTCATGATATATGATGATAAATTTATCAGAAATAAATTCTCACGTAAATAAATAACAAACTTCAAAGTCCGCACACAACCAAGATTCGTCGAGATTCGTTTTAAGTCGAGCTGGACACGCGAAGCAGCAGTGTTTTCGCGTGGGATTGACTCGAATCGCGGTACAGGCATTAGAGCGTGTGGTTTTGCGCGGCTTTTGCGAATCTTCGCGGCGTCGCGCGAAGATCTGGTTTTCGGCGGGCGTTTAGTCCCGGGGAGAAAAAGGGAGCAGAGAGAAGTCCGCGTCGCCGTGGCGCCCGAGGTGTGGCCGGCGCCTCCGCGAAGAAGCGCCGAGTCACACCGCATCGGGGCGGTGCACCGAGCAACAAAACTTTAAGCGGGCACTTAAGAAGCCGCCCGTCAGTCAGGAGCGTCACTAATTTTCCCGGCTTTTTGCCGCGGCGCGGCGGCCTCCTGCACCTCCCCGCGCGCGTCATCCTCTCGCGCGACGATACGTGCCGCGGTGCGCACACGTGCTCCCCCCCCCCCCTCCTTTCTGTCTGGACTTCGTTCGGTTTCCTGATTTTCGTCCTAATTAAGCGCGGGCGAGTGTCAACATGGCGAAAATTAATTAGCGCACGCCGCGGCTACATCGGAGAACGGGGTGAAAGAGGCGGGAGGGGGAGAGAGGGAGGAACTTCACGGCTCGAAGTATTGCGCGAGACGTGTACAAAGATTAAAGCGCACGTCATGCTGATCTGTAATTTATGCCGCGCGCGATATACGGTACTTCGCACTTTGACGGTATTTGATGAAACATGTAGCGATTAATATAGGTTCCGCGGGCATACCAGGTTTGATTCCGTTGACACGGGTGTACTTATTACGTCGCGGGTGTATCGTACCGCGTATGATTGTGCGCCTTTTAACTTCTAATTACGTCGATCGGAAATCCCTGCATCGTGCAAACAACTCTACGAGTTGTTGCAGCAGCTGATTGTAAAGCGAGAGAATCGCGCGAAAAGCGCTTCTGTTTTTTCCTTGCCGGACTATTTTCTGTACAACTATTCAAAATTCAATCGATCATCAGGCAGCTCGCTCGTGCCGGAAACGTTCACGTTTCCAATTCGACACGCATGAACTAGCAGACAAAACCCGAGTTTATTTCTCGGATCGGCATGACGGCCGGGCGAAACGCAAACGAGATATAACAGTAATTCGCGCGCGCTACGCAAGTTCTGTATCAAAAGCGATCCTTAATCACCGTTGTCCATTACGCTCCGATCCGGGCGGTAATGAGCGAGCAAACTGCCGACTGTAGAAATAAATAGCCGTAACGATTACGCCGTGTACAATTGCGATGTGCGGCGGTGCCGCCGAGGTGATACGGGAAACGAGCAGCAACGCGTCTTTGAAAATCGTTGACTCGGCGGCACGCAATTACGCGCAAGAAAAAATTGAACGGCCGCCGAAATGCAGGCGGTCTTTCACGATCGGAGCGGCGGCGGCGGCGGCGGCGCAACGCTTGGCAGCGCTCGCTGCCTGTCATTACGCCATTCGCTCCACCGGTAATTGACAGTCTAATGACACAGTCTAGAGTTCTGGCGCTCGCCTCGCCCGGCCTCAGCCTTTTCGTACATCGTACATCACGATCTACGAAGGATCCTCATTAACGATTCGCCTTCTTTGTGCGCGATCGGCCGCTTGTCTAAACTAAACGGCCGCCGGCAGAAGTCGCGAAGTCATGACTTGTGGGTGTTCCCTGCTAATCACCGTACGTTCAGCGCGACGGGAGGAACAAGAGAGTAATGATAATTAAGTGCGTAATGAGATCAATGTAGCCGGCGCGGTGGATTTTGCATATCGGCCGTGTATGTGTAAAATCGAGATTTTAATCGACGAGCCAGAATTTTAGGTGGAAATAGCCGTACTGTAAAAATGTAACATAATAAGAAAAAAGAATTAAATTTTTAAAATGAAAGCATAGTTAAAATCAATTTTTTTCTAGGTTATTTGTAAAAATGAGTTGCATTTATTAATGGAAAAAATAAAAAGTGTTTATGTTAATGTTGTATTCTTAAATTATCATCACGAATAAAAGAGGAAAAAATTTTATATGACTATATTATAAAGAATTTACATATAACAAATACTATATATAGATCTATGATATTATTTGCCACCTGTATAGTTTTTAAAGAAAAGAGAATTGTATAGAACTTTCCCCGTCGATGTTACACTCGTTTACTCGGGACGAAGCGTGTCGAAATGATTTCCGCCGGACCAGCCGCGGCATGCGATTTTAATTTCGTTCGGTAAACTTTTGGCGCGGGGCTTGCGAGCCGACCAACAAGCCTGCTGATTAGATTGGAAAGAGGTAGATGGCCCATGAAAAACTACGAAACTACTGGCGCCACTGGATGACTTTGCAAAACCGCATTTACAAAGGACGCCGCGGAAGATTTTGAAACCGATTCCAATCGCTTGATGGTCTTACTTTCGTAAAGGAACCGACGATGGGATTTCAAATTAATCTTGTAATGGATCAAATGTATAAAATAACAGTCCCAATATTTTTTCAAACAACAAATCTTTTCACTAATGTATTCTCCAATGTCTCATATTAACCTTCGAAAAAAAAATGTGTCTTCCATATCTTTAACGGCATTCAAAGCCTGAAAATGAGCTCGGAGTGCTCGAACGGAAATAAATTACACGCTTGTTACACATTTTTGAATTTTCTCCTTGAGAAATTACTTTACAAACTGTGTGCTAAATAACAACCAAAGTTTCTTTAGCTTATTAAAGAATTAAAGTGTCGCCCCTCGACGAGGCGACGATATTCTTACGATGGGCCCGCAAAACCGGTAACAGAGGCGCATGACTCTCGAGATACTTGCTCGGGTTTTGGCCAACGATCCTCGCGTTTAACCACGTAAACAACGCCTTTGTTGGCCGCCGCGATTTCCATTTACGGATTCGACACGCGCCGGCACAAAGAACCGCGCCGCTATGCTTCCGAGACGGGGGGATCGTGATGAGGAGCTTTCTATCCGATATTCAACAATGTATAACGCGAGCATCGAAAGGTCGATCGATCGTCATGGTTCCACCTTTGTCTCTTTAGAGTCAAACTTTTAACGGCTATTCAACGGTTTTTTACATGCGGAGCCTCATCATGTAGTCAATCGCGCGTTGAAGGGCTAATATACTTCTAGTAATTATCTTTCAATAAAAATTTCCTCAGTATTTTAATAAGAAACTCGATCGAAAAAGTCGAACACTATACGACGTTCATGATAATTATTTTTAACTTTTCGATATTGCTTAAAAGAAAAACAGGCCGTCGTTTTTACAATAAACATAATATACACAATAATAAATATAATACAAAATATAATATATACAATATTAAACATAATATATACAATACGAATTTCCCGAACTTGCTCCTGTTAATATAATATGTAATATATACTATAAATGCTAACCAGAGTACTATTGATACATTTCATTTCACGGTTTAGTTATGGGCCAGTCCTGAATAAATTTTTAAATGTAAAAAAATACTAGTGTATCGCGATTGCTTGCGTCCTGATGGCGACCCATAAAATTAATTATCGTCCGCATATGTCGCGTTGTGTTTCATTTAGAAATTAGTAACGCGTCTTTCGCTTACCTTCTGTTTTGGTACCACGTTTTCACTTGCGTGTCCGTCAGCTGCAGTTTCGCCGCCAGCTCCATCCTGTCCTGCACGCTGAGGTACTTTTGCCGCTCGAAGCTCTTCTCGAGGGTCTGAAGCTGGTGATCCGTGAAAGCTGTGCGCGCCTTGCGCTGCTTCTTACTCTGCGCGGAACCCAGAGAACTCGAGGACGAGCTTTTAGGATCATCCTCTTTGCCACCTGAAATTGCAAAACTGTTGATATTGAACGTCTCCTTGCTTCCCTTCCGTCTAGTCGTGCAACTTAGCGGCTTAATAAAGTTATCTCCAAAGCGGAGAGAATACGATTCTGAGTTGAGCTTAAGAGTTACTTGAACGCTCAATGAATAACAAATTAATTTAATTACAATTATTAGTTATTTTTAGAAATTATGCATAACGAGATTTCACTTGTCGTTTAATTTTGAGCAAAATATTTTAACTAAATTTTTGTCTTACGAGATTTATATACTTCCTGAAATATACTATATATAAGTTTCACAATATTTACTAGTACAACTATTTTGCCAAAAAGATCCCCGTAAAGAATCGCCAGTCTATCAGGAATTGCGAAGTGCCAAGCTTTTGTTTTCGCGGAGGGTTGGAATCGATGCCGCTCGCGTGGATTATACGCGGTGTCGTTTTTGTCGTTGCCTACATGGCGATTGCAGCCGCCTCTCTATCAGCGAAACAGAAAGCGAGAGAGAGATAGAGAAAGAGAGAGAGAATGAGTGAGTGAGAAAGAGAGAGAGAAAGAGAGTGGGATCCTTTTGTTCTCAGTTCGACTCTCCGCGCAGCCGAGAGCCGATTGGCTGGTATCGCGGATTGGACCACGCAGCCGCGTCGAGACGCCGCAAATTATCCCCTCGATACGTCGCCGTATCCGGAGAGAGATAGAGAAAAGAGAAGGGTGGGATTCCCCGAGGAAACCGATTACACCCGATACGAGTAACACTCACACGCAGCACACAGTCGCGCGCCCGTGACCATCATCCCTCTCGAAACTCATTACATCATCGTTCTTGTCGTAGAAGAAAAGCTTGGTAAGGAACAGGTGACTTTTCAGAACAGGGAATTAATAGCAATGATCAAAAAGAGATGAATAATGAAAAAAAAAACGGGATAAGAAATTAAGCCACTCTCAAAGATTTTTAAACTTAATTGGAATATTACAAATACATATATTATTTGTTGCTTGGATTAAAGTTTAAAAAATTTTTAAAAGTGGCCAGTTTCTATAAATATTTTTTATTGTGGTTGTCTTTTCTAAAAGTTATAACTTCTAAATGTGATGTAAATTTTTAGAGCAATTTTTTTAACGTAAAAAAACTTTGTGCGTTTCGTCAGATAAATTATCCAACCCTCGAATTATCTCGCAGCGGGGGACGTGTCTTGTCGCGAGTAAATCGAGCAATCTCCCGAGAAGTTCCGATCAGAAAACCATCGAGACCTAACCTCCTGGGGGAATAAAAGCCCGCACAGGCTTCTAAAAGTATCTAAAGGCCCGTTGTCGCGAGCTCATCGATTGGAACGGTCGTGCATGGCGCGGGAGAAGCGTACCCTGGCAGGAGGTGGAACCAGAGGAGGGGGGAGATGCAGCCAGGAATAACATAGCGCCGGAAGGGAAGTGGCGGAGAGGGAGGAGGAGGAGGTCGGGAAGATAGAAAGCTCGTGGATTGAGTTAACCCGGACGAAAGCGCGGCTCTTAGCCCCCGTTTGATCGGCCAGATTCGCTCGAACGGGTCCAGAGTCTACCGCGCCATGTTGGCTACCATGGCATGTGTGCGCGCGCGCGCGCTCGCGAGCACCCCTGATTCCCTCCCTAGAAAAGGTTTGGAGGCAAGGAATCCCGTTCCTAGCCTGCGTCGGCACCACAGCTCGATTCGAGAGCTCGACTCCCGAGACTTGTCCGCGAAACGCGGAGAAAAAGGGGTGGACGCGATAAGGGGCGAGGGAGGGGAAGAACGGGGGGAGAATATAAGAGTGGAACGGTGGAAACGGAGGTTGGAAAACTAAATTTACTATGTGATACACTTAGAGCCCGGGTCCCGACCGACGTCGGAGTTCTCCTTTTGAGACACTTCCAAGACGTTAGGCGGAACTTTTCCCACCCCCAAGCTAGCCCCCTGCCCTTCCTTTGCCCAGTAACTCGAGAACCATCGCGAAACATCCATCCCTCTTTTTTCCCCCCGTCCACCCGCGCCGTTCGTCTGCGAGGCACGTAGCCCGAGGCTCAGGGCTTATCTGTGTCCGCCTCGTCCTTACGAGCGTGTTCATGCGCCACTCTTTACCCCCCAGCGTTTTCACTTTGATGCGAAATGGCGACCGCCCGCGATCGGCTTTGCGCAAAGTGGTCCTCCATCCCCGGGATTTGAAATCACGATTCGCGATCATATGCTTCCTGCGCATCGATCTCCGTGTATCAATAACGAGATAAAATTAAAACGCGAGATATGTCAGTGAATCGATGAGCGAAGTAATAGTAAATCGTGTATATACTTCAATTGTCCGGTAATAACACGTGTCACGAGTGATGCCATTAATTGTGTAATGTTCTTCAAAGCATTACACAATGGCTATTATGCTTTTCATTGGCAGCAAAAATAGAAAATTGTTGAAACGTAAAAAAAAAGTACTTCCAGGTCATTCAGTTAGCAATTCACTCTTTATAAGCGTTGCTCTCTTCCACTCGGCTTTGTAACCTAATGATTCGCTTCAACAAGAGAGATAATCGATTTTTTTTTCTCACTTATAACAATAACGCGACGTTACAAATTCCGCACATTATTCATTACACCATAAAGCCATCCAATTATCCGTCCGATAGTTGCAATATTACCCAGTGCCATCAATGTAATTACGCAGCGACATTACACATTGAAATAAACTCATCAATATGGACTTTCTTCGCGAATATAAAGGGCTCCACGACGAAGCGCGCGTCACTTATCAAACAAAACGTACGCGTCAAATCGCGCGCTCGTAACGATCAGACGAAACTTTAGCGTTAAAATGGATCTGTTCCCCGCGCGAGGCGAACAGCGATCTGAATTTGCCGGCGCGGCGGACTTCTCTTTCTCTCTCTCTCTCTCTCTCTCGCGTAGAATATTTCAGCAAAGTTCTCAAAATACTCTCAAGATGTTACCGGGAACTTCGGTCTAGCCGCTAAAGTAACTCGAGCACCTTCTTTCCTTTTGGGGACTAGGACAGCTTTCCTTATCTTTCCACATCTTTTGCCGACACGTATAGTCACCGGGTTTTATGTAGACTTGTCTATCTATGGTTATAAAACGTGTTACAACGACTTTTTACATACGTACTCTGTATGTTATTCTTCTCTAGTTCATACTCCGTAGAAACAAGTCAGTTCTCGAGGGATTTTTCAAGTAACGTGAGCTTTCGATCGTAGAAGAAATTAAGCGAAACGCTACCAGGTTTAAGGTTTCATGTATCCATGTTGTTAATATTTCATTTTATCAGAACACTGTGACAATTTCGAGAAAAAACTTTCAAGTAGATTTTGAAAAATTAGTATGATTTTAAAGAAACTAAAATTTTAATAATATATGTAGGTCATAAAAATATGTATTCTTATTTTTCGTGACAGTGGAAACGCGATGACTCAGGCAAGGTACATCTTTCCATATCCGTAGCGTCAATAGGTAAATTTATAGAGATTATAATGATTCTGATCTCCGAGAGTCGAGCGGAAAACAATATTTTAGACGTGCGTTTTCCCAACGCGTGTTACTACTGCGTGACGTGCGACAATAGCTCCGCGTTAATTAACGCTAACGCTCGCGAGGTATTCGTGTTCCATAAGTCACGACGGTAAACGTCATTTCCACTGTCAAGCGGCGAAATGTATTTTAAAGAGGTTCTCGCAAACATGGCGCCCGTAACGGATGTGCCGCGCCAGTGAAAATCATGACGTGTTCTCAAGTCGCATTATGTGAAAGAGAAAGAGCTAAGGGAGAAGGACAGGGAAGAACGGAGGAAACGAGGGGAACTTGCGTGCCACAGGCATCGCCGCGATACAATGTATGGCGCATAAAAGTGAGATTAACAGGATGTTTATCGAGCAATTATGCGCCGCTGCAATTAGTGCCAGCATGTTGCCGTCGTCGTCCACGTCGCGGTCAAATCGTTCACGTCGTCATCATTGTGGTTTATGCACCAATTGTGATTGCAATTTTCAAACGCACGAATTTTAACAAAGTCATGAAAGCGAAATAGGATCCCTAACGACATGTATTATTGGAAATAAACGTTCCCTTGCATTTTGTTTCTCGCTTACATAACTCGAGTCTTTAAATGGAGAATGCAATACAAAACAATTATTTAATAAATACAAATTGAGCAATTTTAGAAAAATGAGACATACACCAGATATTTCTGCATTTACATTTTGCGTACATATAAATATTTAAATCATATTTCTTTTTACAAAATTTCTTACAATTATCTTCCCTAGTATGCCTTCCATGCTGAAATTTTTAACGAGCTGTGTCTATATTTCTGTTGATTTCACCAACTTACATCGAAAATATTCGAGTAATCGTCAATAATGATTATTTCGCAAGCACGAACAGAGAGAGAGAGATGTAAATTTTTCTCATAAAGAAATTATACTATGGCCATTAAACATAGCGACAGGCAACTTCCCGAGCAATCGAGCACTTCGACGTCGTTACTGGGCCAAGGACTGCATGCGAAAACTTGCAGACACTGTGACGAATGCGCAGGATGTAGAGAGTGCAGCGCAAGTAGTTGCAGCCGAGGGAGTCAGCCGGACGGATCGTAAAAATGGGAATAATAAAACTTTCGCAAAGCGTTGCCTCGCACTTTATGATCTTGGCGGATGGGGTGGAAGGGTTGCTAAGGCGTAGAGTGGGAACGAGAGAAGGAAAAGCCGGAGTTTCCATTGTGCTGCGCACCCGCGATTTTATTTGCTTATTGCTTTATTTCGCGCTGAGTGCATCGCGTAAGTAACTCGCAGAAGAGAGACAGGGAGAGATAGAGAGCGAGAGAGAGAGAGAGGTTATGAACCTATATTTTTACATGTAAAGTTCATCCTTTACGAATACAAAAAATATAAATGTAGAATGTATAGATAATCGTTTACAGTAAAAAAGGAATAATAGTTGCAGTTGATCAGCGCTGCGGATGCGAATAAACATGGAGATTTCCGACGGACTTTTTCCTCTCAAAGAAACGAGCAACTAACGGCGGTTTTTTATCGAATATTAACCGCACAATATTAACCGCAATATTCTCTGCAGTTAGATAATTATTTAAGATATACGGATGGAAATAGTTTATATCTACTGTTTATATCTACTATTTATCGCAAAGTTAGAATCTTAATCAGATACGTAAGCTTATATTAATAATACCAGAAATGCTTCATCAATTTTGTGGAGTAACAGCAACTATATAGTAACAAAAGCGCTAATTCTTTAATAATATAGAATTATTACTCTCGACGATAAACGATATCGGGAGCATCTATAAGGTACATTTTGATGTTACATACAATGAATTAACAATAGAAATAATTCTATAAGCGAAATTGGTAACAAACAACAGAAAGCCCCAGAGTAACTTTTTTCACGGAAGCATCTAGGGAAGCTGTTGTGGAATTTTGCTTACAAATTCGAGTCACACCTCTTCGCTTGGCCCCGTGTCGTACGGGGTGCTCTCTTACCGTCGCCACCTACAACCCCTCGTGTCGTATACAAAGGCGGTGGCCCTCGACGGGGCAGAATCTGACCCCTCTTCTGTATTGTGTTACCGCGTCGCCACCTTTGGGGGAGAAAACACTGGGAATAATGTTATGGGGCAACGTTTTATTGCCTGCCCACTCTATTTGCAGCGATCCCACGGGGGACAAAAATTGTCGGTAAGAATTTCAAAAACAAACTACGGAATTGAGCCAAATTAGTACCTCCCATATGTCGACTTTTCGTAGTATCCTCCAAAATTGTATACTTTTATATTCTGAACGTTTTAATTTTTAATCTTAAAATACGTACAGAGGATAATATATATAAAAGATACACGAGCAATAAATTATTAATAAAGTATAGCCGTATACGAAAGATTAAATATGCAAACAAGCAATTTCTAACGATATAGATAAGTGGATAAATATTACATAATATTTTCAGATAAATAGCGGTACTAACGTAATTAATACCTCATGTTAATGAAATAGTTCTCGTCGTCGTAATATCACATATTAGAATCTATATCGGCATGTTGCGCAATCATAACAGCTCTTCGATAGCTATCGTCTCATAATTTATTTAGGGATATCATAGAGCAGAATAAGGACTGCGAGGTGTCGTGTGACAGTTTGCACGGCGATATATTGTCGCATGGAAACATTATATGGAAAAATGCAATCGAGTGTTACTGTCAGATCGTATTATATGAGCCTATATACGAGGTTACCGCGGGGTGCGTAACGCTCGTGTGTTTCTCGAATTTCACGAAGCGCATTCCGCGCAGGCGGTGAACGGAAATGCGACGATTGCATCAAGCCGCGACCGTTCGCAGAATAATTGCGAAAATGCAAAAGGGCAAATTTTCTACTTCGTAAAAATCGATTTCGCGCCAGCTCGTTTAAGATAACATTATGAACATTCATATTTATCTTTAAAATTTGAATGTTCTTTTTAATTTTTGATAGCTACGCTTATAAAACGTTAAAAATAAGGCAGATATTATAAAAAATAAAATATATAAAATATGCATTAAAATGTGCACAATGTTATAAATTAATTTTATACGTACGAAACATCTTCGTAAATATTTTTTTCAATTTCAAAAAAGTTTTTTACGCCGATCCCAAAACTCGCGTTTTTATCCTCGAGTCGGAGGATGCTCGCAATTATATCGTCAGGAGCATAATTCGAAAGTTTCTGAACCACCGCGGTATACATTAGCAATAATTACCCCGTTATTTTGAGCGAGCGCGCGGCTCGAGTCGCTTACGCGCGCATTATACGGCCGGACTTCGCTAAAGACTTCCTCACGTATGCCGCCGACAGGTGTTTACCGTCGTTGTCGGGATTCGCGCGGTTGGTTTCCACGGCGTTCGCTTAACAAGATTCTCAAATCCTCTTAAGCGCTCGGCATCCGCGTTGACAAACTTGACCTCGGTCTCTCACGAAATCGATACCGACCCGCGGAATCGCGCCGTCTCGAAAGGATAATCGTCAAATTACCAGCGAATAATCTAGTTAATTAAAACGTCCGATTCAATTACGAGGCTTAAAGCGGCTTTCGCAGCCGTTTTAGGAAGTTTCATTGCGAGTTTCGCCGCGAGACTCCTCGATCGGACAATGCGCTTCTGCGCATTGTTACCTACGTAAACGTTCGCCTCCGACGGAATAATTAATCACTCGCGCATAATCTAAGATCACCCGCTTTGTAAACACGATACCCTCCCTCCGCGCGATCGCTCGCTACGATTAGATCCATCATGACATTCTGTGCAACAACAAATCGTGACGATTGCCAAACCTCGAGTACGCTACAACGCAACGTTAAGCATTGATTTATCTTCAATATACTCTGAAGAAATGATTAGATCTTTTGTAGTTTAAGACGCATTTAGTTTACTTTTCAAAATCGGCTTTAATGAATTCTCTCCACGTATATTTTATTTATCAAGATTACAAAATAACTCGTTCAATTCTTATTGCAATTCCTATTTAATTTGCGTTATCACTTCATCTCTTATTCGAAACTCAGATAATCGTTTCCACATACGTCACTCAAAGTCTTCACTGTCCCCGGCATTTGTAGCGACTACCAGCGGCATTCCAGTTCTCGACATTGCCGTATCCGTTGAGTCTCTCTCTCTCTCTCTCTCTCTCTCTCTCTCTCTCTCTCTCTCTCTCTTTCCTCGCCTCTCGGCTCGATATTCAGATCGTGGATTAATCCCACGTGTAGATTGTGTCGTCAAAAGTCCGACAGCCGGCTTGTCGGGGCGCACGCAAAAAGGCGCGCCTTCGGATACGAAATTGCTTTCGTCTCGCGAAAGTCCCTTGCATAGAGCTAGCTAATCCGTGCCGACTTCTAAACGGTTGCCAATCATTTCCGGTTCTCGGATTAGTCGCGCGTCGAAAAGTCAGCGGGCTCGTCCGTAAGGGGCGTGAAACGGCCCCGATCCCTGGCAGGACCTTCCGGACCGATACGGAGATGACAACAATGTGAACCTGGGGACGAATGTTGGCTTCGTAAGCGGCTTACAAGCGACTCGCACACGCGCCCAAGAAATGATATTCCGCGCTGAGAAAGATCGGTTTTTTCACGCCTTTCTCAACCAGCTAGAATGGAGTGCGCGCGTTGATCCGATATTAAAATCCGTATTAAAATAAATGTATAGAGAAGAAGGTAGAAACTAGAGGTATTTTTATTATGCTTTGAACGCATGATACGAGTTTATACTCGTGTGAATTTGATACATGTTACAGTGACGTAATCACTGTATTATTTTTATAAATTATATTTATCATAGAAAATTCAAAATTTTAGCCTCTTAAATTTCTATCGTTTCTTATAACTTGATCTTCAATTTCTTAAATTATTGATTATATGTATTAGTTTTTGATTTTCGTCGACACATTTTATGATATAAGTAAAGTAAAGTTAGCATTGCGACAAATCGCAGATAACTAAAAGGAGCAATTGCAGGCAAAAAAAAAACATTGCATCCGAAGGTAGCGAAAAGACAGTTTCACTACATGACATTTTTGTATGACGATATAAAACAGATCAAATTAAACGCGGGATATACTTCCTCACATGTGTTCCGCTTCGCGATTAGAACGACATCGCTACTTCAAATTGCACTTCGCTAATATAATTCCCCGCTCATCAGTCGGACGCACGAAACGCGTGTAATTGTCGCGTAAGGACATATAACCGGGACGATAATTAGGAGCTCGCGATCCTCTAGCGAGAAGTAAACAGCTAACGAGCGATCAGCGGCGCGACGTATGATCGATGCGTAAATCCGCCGGCAATTACGTCTGGCTGTTAGTCCGATGTTAATAATTTTCTAATCAACGCCGCGTGAAAGATCGATCGTATTTGTACCGTGACGAGCCGCGGCGTCGCTCGGTCCCGCCGGTTGCGCGATGGCGGAATGTAATAATCGAGACGGGAAATTGGAATGGACGAACAAGGGGGGGGAGGGAATGGGGCTTTAACGGCGGAATAAAAGGGGGAGAGAGAGAGGGAGGGAGGGCCGCCCCATAAAAAATCGCCTGGGCCAATCTACGTGAAAGCGTGCGGCGCGGCAATTACATTGGCGTTACTCCTCCTAATTGTCCTTCATTAATAATTCTGCGACCGCGGCGCGGATGGCGTACCACGGAAGGTGGTATACCACTTACGCATTGGCGATTATGGTCGCGACGCGAGACCGACCGCGACTGATAACGCCAATAAAACGAACGCGCGTCATTAGCTCGAAAAAGAAAGGCGCATCGCCTTTTAATACACGGTTCATGCTTCACGTCGCGTTATTCACGATGAACCTTTTACAAGGTTCTTTGCATCGTGCGTCTCGATAGGCGGACTGTAGGGCTTCGTTCGTTGCGAAGAGCTGGCTTGCAATAAGCAGCTTTACACTTGTGTTTATTTATTTATAAATGTAGACTTGTTGATACTTCGTAACGTGTAGACATAGTAAAAATTGCAGATCATGTAACTAAATGACTTTCTAATGGATCTTATACTTTATACGATACGTTATGACTTTTTTTTTTATCAATATTTGTTACCAAGCAAGCATTATTTGCTGATGTACACTCTTTATAGTTATGAATTTGATTAAAAATGAATACAGTGTGCTAATAATATGTTGATAAATGTGTATCAAAAGTGGTTAATGGCTTAAGATTAACATTTTACTTATTATTTTAAAAATTACATTTTAAATATACAAATCATTATTGTAAAAAGCATGAGGCCAAAAAAAAACAAGTTATATGAAAATGTTCGTCGCCACGTGACGTGAAATATTCATTCCTCATTATGTACGCACGTTTTATTCGCCACAAAATATGAAATATTTATTTTTACAACTTAATGTAGACTTTATATAATGCTAGTTTAGCATTATATACCTAAAGAATTAATACGTTTTGTCTTTTGTCTGTTAAAGATAATCTTAAGTAATCATTGGATGTCATTGAAAGGTGATTTCTTCCAGCTAATATTCCTCAATGAATTATCATATATTGAATCCAAGGTATAATAAAAGCATAAGAGCACACATACGATCGCACGTACATATGTGTCGCACGATTCGAGCATGGTCATGAGCACGATCCGCTATAGCATGGTATATCCCTTATCGCGGGCACTTTTCCCTATATTCCCTCGTGTCACCGTAGCGAGGCAAGGACGACGATTATCGATTACCATGACGTGACTCTCGAGATTTCCAAACGCCGCGCCGGGGCTGGTCATTGGTCTTGTCCGTGAAACACTTAAGGGGAGTTATAAATAGCGACGTGGTGCAAGGTGCGAGCCGTCGCGCGGCGAGTCAATGTCGTGGAAAAATTGGCGCCTTAATAGCCCGCTGATGTTTTCACAAGGAAGGAGCGCCGGATTTAGTGCCGCGGAAGCAGTATTAGTGTTATTCCGCAGTATTCCGCTCGCCGCTTCTAATCACATCGCCGTCGTCCGCGTAATTGTCGCTAATGCGCTTCTTTGAGGAAATAAGCCGATTACGGAACAAACAGCCGGCTTTAGTCATTGTAGCGAGCGGCTTCTCGCTTGGAGCGTCGCGTTTAAAAACAAGCAGCCCGGGGAGAAAAGGAGGACGATCGGTCGGAGAGAAGTATAGCTGCGAATTAACGGAAATTGTGCCGATACGCTCGGCGCAGGTCACCTTAATAGCCCCTCCGACGAGAGTTACGAGAGAAAATACAGCCGCCGCGATCCGCGCGGCTTGTAGCGGCGCAAACGTTTATTATCGCAGTAGAAATCAAGTAGCGAATAACACTTTTCAAACAAGCATCGTATTTACATTTATACTCGCAGCTTTAGCGCACGTCGCGGAGTTATAATTCGCGCGCGTACCACGCGGGGTCTTATAGGATAATTAACGTGAAAGTTTCGCTGTAATTAAAAATCGATTCTCTCTCTAACGTTTCACTTATGTACCTCCGTTGTTGTGCGTGCGCGGACGTGACGCTTTTGCGTAATACTGGTGGCTCGAAAGTCTTACGAAATTCGGCGTCGTCCGATCAGAGACGTTACGACAACTTAGCACTTGTTCAGCCCGAGGGATTGAACTCCATAAGACAGCGGGGCACACAGGTAGAAAAGATGAATGAAACAAATGAGGGTAACATAATTAAAGCTTTCGAATGCCGAGCTCCAATTTAGAACCATTAGAATTCCTAAACGTTGTCGGGCGGACGGGCACAGCAACCCGCAGAGAGAAAGAGAGAAAAAGAGAGAGATGTTTATCTCAACGGAGATATATCTGATTCTCGAAAGAGGCGTTCTTTATGCGCACAACTAGCGACGGCCGACGTGATCTCACCGATTGGAACATCCGGTCGGACCGTGTCCCGTAAATGTCCTTGACACCTCCGTGAAAGTCCACGCGAGCGATCAGGTGGACAAACGAAATCAAAATACTCCCACATTTCGTAATAAACGTAACTACGGACTATCATTCGACTACCTTCCAAAAAAAACTGAAGTTTTGGGCTATCGACAAATAATGAAAAAAAACACGACGCTTTTTATTCCTTTATCTCTGTCTCTCCCCTTCTCCCCGTTATATATTTTAAGAATCACTTAATTACACGATAGTAAATTATATATGCCGTATATCTATAAAATATAGGAAAATAGTGCAAAACTAGATATTGTCCGTTTTCGTGAAAAATAGAAAATAAGCTCGGTAAAACTAGCAATAAAGCTGAACAGCTATTGTTTAATAAAATTGTTAAACAATTACTAATTACGTGCTTTAAATGTTTTTAAATTTTGCCACTTGAATGGATGGAGATATACAATTCTATATATATGTGACTCGTCTATTCATGTTTATCTCAATTTTTCTAACAGTATATCTGTCAAAAATGTAAGTAGCTCATTACTCCATTTCTGTAACATGACTACATCATATATCTTTCACTTAAGAGAGACTGAAATGTTCTTCAAAAAAAGTCATATACTTCGATATTGCCCCAGCTTCATCACGTCGTTATACCGAGCGACAAGCACAGTTTCGAAAGCGTGTAATAAAGTATCATTTACCATTGGACGTAACGGAAGCGCCGTCGTGGTGGCTGGCGTCGCTGTCCTCGTCTAGATTGCTATTGCTCAAGGACGTTCTGGACTGATGCCTGACACTGAGGTCCCGCGGTGTCGAGGGTGGACTTCCGGGTGGCTCCTGACTTGGCAGGCCGGATTGATGCATCTTGCTGGACGCGCCGCCCAAGATATCGGTGATCATGAACCTCGACCTCTGCGGCATCGTCGTCGAGGCATCGCCCCTTTCCAAACCGTTGTTATTGTTCAAATTGTTGTTCCGCGAGTCCAGCCCGTTGGAGAGACGTTCCACCGCTACGCCGTTCCGATCGACGATGTTCTCCAGCCGATGCGCCTCCAGGCCGGACATCCTGCTGAGATTCAGACCGTTATTGGCCACGGCGACGCCACTGAGAGCGGCCACGTGGTGGTTCTGCTGATGATGGACCGTCATCACGGTAGACGCAGATGGTTCCTTCGGGCTACGGGCACCTGCAGGTGCCTCTGTCGCCACCCCAGGACTCGCCCGGTACCTGGGAGACAGAATCTTGCCGACGGTGACGACGTAGCCTATCCCAGGAAGAAGAGATCGTGCCCTCTCACTCTATTTCAACTGCACTTCACTGTATCCTCGGTAGATCCGATTTCTGGATCACTCCTCTTTCTCTCTTGCGCGTACGATTGGCGCGTTGTTCGGCATCATTTGACGCTCAATCTCGAATTTATCGCGATCGAAAGATTGATTGTTCCGCGAGAGGGTCAGGAAACCTCTTGCGCGATTAACATTCGTGTCGAAAACATTAATACCGGGGATCTTCACGAAAGTTCGAGCTTAGAAATTTACAGATGTGTGTCTTGCGCTGTGGTGTCAGGACTTTTAATTCGTTAAAAGCCTGAGGACGATTTGAAAAATTAAGGCGAAAATCTTACAGAAAAATCTGAGGTAAATGACGCGTGAGACAGGTATTTGCGTCGTGATGCGTGTGCACCTTGCACTTCCTCCCGCTCACTCGGTCGCTCCACCTCCGCCACCACCTTCTTCCCAGGCGCAATTAAGGGGCCGCTCGGCTCGGCTCCCTGGTTAATTGCTAATTGGCCACTTAACATAATTGCCGCGCATAAGAGCGGAGCCGCCGGCCATTTCCGCTTTTCTTTTTCTCCTTTTCCTTGCTCGTTCAATTATTAATTATTTTTATATAAGACTCCTATGGCGCGTTCTCCTCTCACTTTTGCACGATTATGCGCTCGGCGTGTGTCTCGCCAATGAAGGTAGAAACAAGTTCGAGACCGCCTATCGTTCGCCAATCAATCGTTTAACCATGAAACGGACACGATATTTCAAAAGAAAAATAACATTAGCACATCCTTCGCACTAGTCTTCCAGATCACAATTGTGCCTGATGATCACTTCTATCAAAGTCCAATCAGTCCAACAACCGCCACTCGATTGGTCTATCTCGATCGCGTTTGTTTTGAAAATCTATGTTTACCCAGCTTATCACGCGTATCAAGATTAATCATTCTTACGGCGAGACTTCCGTCAACGTTTACCGATTTCGAACCGGCATTATACCATTAAAGTTTATCAACACTGTTCCTCTTTGGATTGCACTGTCACCTGACTCGTTCACGTTATTAAGATCACTTTGACAGGACCGAGCCAAATTTGGACAATTATCTGCCGACTGAATATCCGTCACAGCGAAGATTCTTCGATCAGGCAGCACCTTCCGATTCGCGAATCAGACAATCACAAGCGTGCGATTCCGGAGTAAAGGTCGGTCTGATGCCGAATCTTGATTTTCGCTGGACGAAGAATCGCTCCGATCAGTCTGCCGAGGACTGAGAACGTAGTCGTGCACACGAAACGTGCGTGTGCATCGAGTTGCCACGACTGGTCTGTCTGTACTGAGGACGGCAGGCACCTCCGGTCGTTCCTGGGCGGCCATATCGGCATTATGACACGCCTCCTGTTCTCCCCACCACTGATACCTCCAGACCAATCCCGCTCGTTGCCGTTAAGCATCCCGCCAATCCTGACCGAAGCAACCTCGGCGCCTCCGCTATGTGCCACGGCTACGCCCAAGTAATTTGAAATGTGTTTCAGCGGTAATTCGATATAAAATTGTAGTTAATATCTTTCATTATAGTCCGGACGGGGGGAAAGAGGGCGCCCAAGCTCCTCGCGCAGAAGACGACGATGGTGGGAGGCATGGGAGCAGTGGCAGGGGACTGCACGGGGAAAGGGGGGAAGGGAACGAAGCAGGGTGGAGCGGGCGGTGATACTGGCCTCCCACTTCCAGCTCGCTCTCTTCGAGATGGAACAGCGAAGCGGATCGTCGAGAGAAACGACGGGAGAGGGAACGGAGAAAGAGAGGGTCCAGCGAGACCTGGCTGGAAGGGGTGAAATGCCATCGAAACGGAGAAGGGTGGTCCCAGCTCCGCGAACTTACTCCGCGAATTTACGAATTCACGAGGACGAGCGGGCGAGCGAACGAGCGAACTCGGGGAGTCCGGGCGAGCGAGCGCGGCATTTTTTGCTACGTGAACTTTTTTTTGCGTTCCCCTGTCGTCGAAGCTCAAGAAAAGGCTCGTTAAGCATATCAAAGAAGCACGTTGATTAACCTGGGCTGTGTTACCGATGTCGTTGCAGAGTAACGTTGAACGTTAAATTGTGCAATAAAGTCAATCAGAATAATGATGTCGATATATATGCTAAACAGTGAACCAAATTAAGTAAATTACGATCTGGTAAGATAATGACTGATTCTGTAATAGATCGCGGAAATCTTTAAGCGTGACTCATATGTATCTCAGCGCAATAATGGCAATTTGTAATTGTGATTCAAAGTGAGTTTACATGATATATGTACCTATGATGAATGAATTTTTAAATCTTTCATAAAAAAATAGATATTGTGATAAAAGCGAAAGCTGTTGTAATTGTTGAAGAAGATCCAGATGGAAATCTTTTTTCACGGTCTTATATTATCTTTTCCAAAGTACTCCAATTTAAAAAAAATAATCATTTTTATGACGATCTTTGATTCACTCGAATATTGAAGGAGAAACTACTCGGATGGAAATATCTGAAATTGCAATCAAACGCTGTATAAAAATATGAGATCCCTGTAAATGCCTAGAAATGCCTGTGTAACACACAAATGCAAACACGAATGCATTGTGTAACACACACAATGCATTCGTGATGGTATACGAGTATATTGGAGCAATTATTCTGACATTAACAGAATCGAATCGAAATGAAATTAAATACGGTGGAGTTGGCAGGAATGATAGATGTATAGAAATTAGGGGTGGTGACATCATTTAATTACAGAGGGCTGTGCTTATGTGCGGTGTTTCATCTACATACGATCTCATATGGTGTACCATAAATACATAAGAAAATAATTACCCTAAAATAATAGACTGCTGAAAATTTTTTAACATTTGTCTTATTAATTAAGTAGCATATTAAGATTAAATTAAAATGGATTATAATATACAATAGTTATGTAATATATTTCAGAGATATACAATAACAAGTATTTGTAAATTTATAATTAGCACATTTTTATATAAGCTCTTATCTTTACAGTTTTATATCGCACATGCATCTATCTCACGCATCATAATCATAAACACGTAACGTAGTTTAAAATTGTTTAAATTGCGTTAACTGTTCCGCTGTCATTTAGAATTGTTTATCGATTCTAACGATAATTTTACATCGCGAATAAAAAGTCGTTTCCGTAAAATCGGTTTGCGGGACAGCTCATATTTCTGTGGAAGAAATTAACGGAGCCTGTAATGCGATCGTCAAAGCGTGACTCGACACGAAAGCCGGTGACTCGTAAGAAAATGCGCGCAGCTAATTTTTTCACCTTTTATTTTACACGCACCTTTACACGCGTTGCCCCCTTCGCGGATACGGCGAACAAGCGTGTTCGTGTTGCACGGGCCGCGCCTGAGAGGTGATGCGTTCGTACGTACATGTCTCATTAATTAAACATGAGAATTAGCAACGAGTGTCGCACCCGCGGGGCAACGAAATGAAAAGTTAATGTCGTTAAAGGGCATACTTATCGCTCAGTAATTGGCTTACTGAAGTCTCCATAGAGAGATGCGCAAATGCAATTCCAATGTGTATACAAAAATTCGATATTAATTATCATCAGAAAAAAAGGAACAATGTTTGTATTGATATATATCACAACGTCTAAATATTCTCGATGTGAGCTTATTAACGCGTAGCACAAAGTAAGGTCGATTTATGATAATATTACAGCAATCTTGATTGAAGGAATCTACATAAATATATCAATGTGTTGGATGCACGCAATTCTGAAGACTATATATATATATATATATATATAT